GGTTTTAATAAGCAAGTTTACACAAGTATTTGACTAGCCATATTAAACGTGACAAAATAGTAAGTAACATGAATAATCAATCATACAGTATTATTATAAGTTGATCTCAAACAAGATTAAAAAATGTAGAAACGAACCTCAATGTAATAGTTTTCTATGATTTTATTCTTAAGCAAGATATTATATATATAGCTTATATGAATTAATAAATGCCTATATGTTTTGATACCTTTGTGACAAAGCAAAATCAAGAGCTCTATCTGATCTCTCTGCTCAAGTGCTCAGCGAAAGGCCTACAAACACAATAAGAAGAAACAAACAAAAACAAACACTTAAACAAAGGATATATCTTTCTTTAATCTATTTCACCATAAAGCAATAAAGGATATATCTCCCCTACTTTGCAACATCAATATACATTAAAAAAAACTAGCAGTAACAAACAATATTAAGTAAAAAAAGATTAAGTAAATTCATCAAGCAATTAATGACAATAATGTAGATGCTAATGTGCTCATCGAAATCTACCTCAAGAAGAGAAGGACCAAGAAGCCCAAACTGCCTTCTACTGCAAGGGAAATACGTATATCTGCAAGAGACCAATACAGTAAGTAATCAATACGGTCACATGACATTTTTGAAGTTAAACTAAAAACAATATCACAGCAATACGGTCACATCATCACATGACGATACCTTTCAACTTATCATTTGAACATCTTTGAAGTTAAACTAAAAGACTCATAATAAAAGCAAACAAATACATCTCTGCTCGTAATCTACATCCCCAGTTATGAGCTCGTAATAAACAAATAAGAAGCTTGAGTTTGAGAGGAAACCTGATGATGGGTTTGCTGCAGAGATCCGTTCTCAAAACCCTGAGACAAGCAGGCATACCGTCACGAACTACTGGAGGCCTATGAATGCTGTATCAATTACAAGAGCAATTTACAAGAAGCTGAACTTACACAGGTGACCGAATTTACAAGAAGCTGAACTTACACAATTTACAAGAGTTCTTGCTTGTCATCTTAGGATGGGACTGGAATTGACTTATTTTCCTTTGCGTTTGTTTTTCTTCATTAGGCGTGGGATCTTTACTATCACGTTTTCAAACGGATTGACAAACAGCTTGCCAGTCTCACGACATTGGATTTGGAAGTAATTATATTCTCTTTTCCTTTGGTTCTCTCTTTCCTTTTTTACCTGAGTTCTAATCTTACTGGCACATTACATGTTGGGTAGTCTGTTTCTCCTGAACTGCTGCTCTGTCGTGACTTGGAGTTGGCTGTTCCTGGAACATATCGTGCAGGTAACGTATTCAACTTCTAAAGTTTGTCAGAGCTGATATGTGTTTTAAGCGAAGTGACATCCATACTTCGTATTCGTCTAAATTAGATGCCCCGGTTGTGACGATATCATCGTTTTCACGCCAACTTGTTGTCATAACCTCAAAACAACGGCCACGGAAGTTGACTATTCACGGAAATGATGGTGAGGACTATGCCTTTCTGTTAAAGGGACATGAAGATCTAAGGCAAGATGAGCGTGTTATGCAGGTGAGTCTCAAAAAAAATGAAATTAGTTGCTCAGTATTCTGTTAAGTGCGTATTTTGTAACTGATGTTTTCTAATTTCTTAACCACATGATAGCACTTATCTGTTTCCTCTATATTGTCTTTCAGCTTTTTGGTTTGGTGAACACTTTGCTCGAGAATTCCAGGAAAACAGCAGAAAAGGATCTGTCCATCCAACGGTATTCAGTAATACCACTATCTCCCAATAGTGGACTCATTGGATGGGTTCCAAACTGCGATACCCTTCACCATCTTATTCGAGAGTACAGAGATGCTCGACAGGTTTTCATCAATGTTTTCAATTTTGAAGTTATCTGCAGTTTACGTTGATTCTTACATATGCCTTTCTGAATTTCCAGATCATTCTTAATCAAGAACACAAACATATGTTGAGTTTTGCTCAAAACTATGACAATCTGCCGCTCATAGCAAAGATTGAAGTATTTGAGTATGCTCTAGAAAACACAGAGGGAAATGATCTGTCCAGGGTACTCAAATTTCTAACTTCTAGTAGTCTTCTCTTGGGTAAAGTAACTATTTGGGAATACTAAATTGATTCTAATCTCTTTGGTAGGTTCTCTGGTTAAAAAGTCGGTCATCAGAGGTATGGCTGGAGAGAAGAACCAACTATACTAGAAGTTTAGCAGTTATGAGTATGGTATGTGGTTTATCCTTTGTTCTCCATTTTTTTAGCATCAATGTAAAAATGTACCCATGTTTGACCTTTTGCATTACTTTTGTGTCAGGTTGGTTATATTCTTGGGTTAGGTGATCGACACCCAAGTAACCTTATGCTACATAGACACAGGTAAAAAAAAACAAGTCTACATTGCATATAAGATCCAACTTTTTTCTCTATTTCTTTATAAATGGTTTCATTTTTGCAGTGGTAAAATCTTGCATATTGATTTTGGAGATTGTTTCGAGGCATCTATGAATAGGGAGAAGTTTCCTGAAAAGGTATTTACTATAGTGTTTTCCTCATAATACTTGTTTGCGACCATTCTGGGTATTATATAAAGAAAATTTGATATGAGGAGAGAGTTTTATTTGGTGAA